TTAACTCCAAGCAATAGAGCAAGCAATATGTTGTTACTATTCCCAGAAAAATTATTAGATATTAATTTACTTTAATGTAGGAGATGTCATACCACACAATAATGTGGCCAATTAAGTTTTAAGGCCAATCCACCATTAAACACTCTACAAAATAAGAATTTTCTCACTTCTCTGACTTACGACTTATGACCCTGATGTGGCCATAAGCCAAATGCATTGCGAAAGCTAGCCCTTTAAATGTATTCAGAGATTTAATTGTGATTTTTTTTTTCCTCCAAAGATTTATTTTTGAGTTTACTGTGTGAAACATTTTTAAGGCTTCCTAGCTTGAGAAAACAGCTGGAAACTAAATTAGAAAACGTTCTAGAAAGGGTAAAAGGTAAAGTGTGTAGGAGACAGGAAGTTAGGAGTAAAGTTTGGCTTGTAATACCAAGATCTGCCTTGGCTCTCCCATCCACAGAAGTTCTTTACCTTAATTTTCATGGTGCTAGGAGCCAGAGCAGTGATTTCCTTTTGCATACGATCAGCAATACCAGGGTACATGGTGGTACCTCCAGATAAGACGTTGTTGGCATACAGGTCCTTGCGGATATCAATGTCACACTTCATGATGCTATTGTAAGTAGTTTCATGGATGCCAGCAGATTCCATACCTATGAATAAGTGAAAAAAGAATCACAGTGCATTTAGGCCAGGGTAGAGGAAAGAGAGCAGGGCTCCTCTGTGTTGGTGATCTTCCAGCATTTCTTTCTGAAGCATATGTTCTCCTGCAAGATACACTGCAAGGAACAGGTGGAACAGGTGTCTCTTGAAAGTGCTGACAGATAATACACACAGACTGCCAGGAGATGAACAACTGCATTTAGCAGCTATTTGGAGTGAATGCCTACTGTAACCATCATGTATAGAGACATACTGCAAATGGATACGACAGAATTTAACTTAACACACTTTTCATTTATAGACTAAAACCATACCCAGGATTCCTCTTGGAAACCACTGCTTAGGAAAGATGTTTGGTGACATACAAGAGTCTAGTTACTACTAAGTAAGTGCAGCTGAATTTAACGGCAAGTCCAGCTCCTTTGTAATGGAACTTCTTGGGATAAATCAGCCCTCCTCAGTAATCATCCTGCCCTGCAGACACATGATGTTCAGTTACTGCTTGGGCTCATCTCTTTCTTGGGATGAGAACCTCAGAGTTTAGTGTGTGTGTGTTAGCCTTCATCATATCACAAGGGCACAGAACACAGGCATTCCCTTTAATGAGCCAGCAGGATTTGAAACTGAGCTGTGTGGGACCCCAAGCTATGACCTAACTCAAGACCTCCTTAGTCTTTCTAGTTATATAAAGGTTTTTACTCTGGGAGACCTCAAGATTTCCAGGGAAAAGCTGTGCCTCAGCACCAGACTTACCAATGAAGGAGGGCTGAAAGAGTGTCTCTGGGCAGCGGAAGCGCTCGTTGCCAATAGTGATCACTTGGCCATCAGGCAGTTCATAGCTCTTCTCCAGGGAGGAAGACGAGGCAGCTGTGGCCATCTCATTCTCAAAATCCAGGGCAACATAACACAGTTTCTCTTTAATGTCACGGACAATTTCACGTTCAGCTGCAGGCATAAAGGGCATCACAGTCAAGCTCTGGAGAATGAAGCCAATTGTGGGGGAAGATAGGTGGATTCACTGAGGGAGGAACAAAGCAGACACTTGCCATGGAGATGAGGCACACACACACTCACCGGTGGTAACAAAGGAGTAGCCACGCTCAGTGAGGATCTTCATGAGGTAGTCAGTGAGATCCCGACCAGCCAGATCCAGACGCATGATGGCATGGGGCAGAGCATAACCCTCATAGATGGGGACATTGTGAGTTACACCATCCCCAGAATCCAAAACAATGCCTGACAGAGAAAATAGACAAGGATAAGGTCAATCTCTGTGGACCACTGTTAGCCATGGGAAAACCTACTTCCAGTCTTGGAAAAGAGATACAAGATTAGGCATTGAACCACATAAAATTAGATTCCTCACACACACAGAATATAAATGAGCATAATGAATAGATACTAAATCTGAAGCCAACAGCAGCTCATCCTTTTAAATATTGTAGTAGAAAAATTTCCTGAGGACATTTTCAAATGACCATCCCCCTTATCAGCTATTAGCACATTATGTAACCATGCAGGCAGGTTTTTCTTTGCTCCAATCTAAGTTTACATGGTTCCTTTATGTAAATCCTCTTGGGAATGTGTATTCTTATTGATGACATATGCCTGGAGGCTGTGATGGTATGAACACACAACAATGACTGTTGCAATCCAGCTTGCCACTTTGTGCCCAGCCTCAATATGTGACATCACACACCTTAAATAAAGGAAAGATCTAACACCATGAGCTGACAGTAAGCGTGCTCTGAAACTAACTTCAGGGAGCTATTGTTACAGACAGCCTGCCTCAGCGTCTGAGGGAGTCACAGCAAGGTCAGAGTCTCACGAGTGTGATTCATCAGTGACTGACCCCCCAGTCACAAGCATACCTGTGGTACGGCCAGAAGCATACAGGGACAGCACCGCTTGAATGGCCACATACATAGCAGGGACATTGAAGGTCTCAAACATGATCTGGGTCATCTTCTCACGGTTGGCCTTGGGGTTCAGTGGGGCCTCGGTAAGCAGGGTGGGGTGCTCCTCAGGAGCCACACGGAGCTCATTGTAGAAGGTGTGGTGCCAGATCTTCTCCATGTCATCCCAGTTGGTAATGATGCCATGCTCGATGGGGTACTTCAGAGTCAGGATACCTCGCTTGCTCTGGGCTTCATCACCTACGTAGGAATCCTTCTGCCCCATACCTACCATGACCCCCTATAAGAAAAAGGTGGAAAAATCATGCTTCTGCCATGTCAGGAATATATCTAACACTTTATCAATTTATATTTGACTTCCAAAGTCAAGGAACGCTTAGAAATAATAAAAAATAGGATTTGACCCCAATTTAGAAAAATCATTTGAAATCAATCTTGTAGCTTATCCCCATGCAAAAATATGTAATTCTGTTGTTTAGCAGATAAACTGGAAAGGGGAGAATAAAGCTATTTCATTGAAGAAGCAGAGGGTCATCTTACCTTTAAAATACTATAATGCCTTCATTAAATTATTATGCTTATCAGCCATGTCAACCAGAAAATGGATGATTACATTTTGGAATGACCAAATTAATGACTTACTGTGTTTTACCTAAGAAAAGATGTTGACAGTCATCAAGTGAATATAAAAAAACTGGGCTGAGAAGCCACAGTCACTCTGATGGTACGATTCAGCCCATCCAGAACTGCTTGGAGTACTGGTCATTCACCACACTCAGTACTAATATCTGTCCTCCCTGGCAGCCTGTCTGGCCAGGCATGTGAGAAATCCAGAAAGCATGGCATTTCTTTTAATAAACAAGGTGGTATGTCACTACTCACTGCCTCTGTCACGTCTGGCTTCTAAAAATGCAACAGCCAGGAAGGAGATAGATTACATCTTTTGGGAGCCTTGTAAACTGGCTGTGAACAGGAGCGGGGAATTTGGGTTGGGTCCTCATTAGTGGAGAGCAGTTTTATTATTTTAAATCTTGAACAGGACTGTGGCGTGGGGCCGGGGGCGGGGGGCAAAGTGGTTAAAAGGTAAAGAAGACAATAAGGACTGAAAATCCAGACTTCCAGGAGTGGAGGCAGCTGGTGGATTTTCACAGGAGGAACTTGAACCCCTTGACAGATGTTTTTGAGCTGGAAGGGGGGGTACATGTCTTGGTATTTGGGGATTGGCTAGGGGTATGTTTGGCTTGGCATGGATGTGAAGCTAAGCTTTTTCTTATTTGACTCCGAGTTCATGTAGCAGTTGGGTCAGGACAGACATTTCCTTAATTGCTGGACTGCGGGAGGGGGGTGCAGGCACGGGCGGGGACCGTCCCGAGCGGGCACTGGCCAAGCGGGCCAGGAAGTCTACCTGGTGGCGCGGGCGGCCCACGATGGAGGGGAAGACGGCTCGGGGCGCGTCGTCCCCCGCGAAGCCGGCCTTCACCAGCCCGGAGCCGTTATCACACACCAAGGCCGTGGTCTCCTCGTCGTCGCACATGTTGGCACAGCTCAGCGGGGTCTGCGGCTGAGGAGGGGAGGGCGGGCCGCGTTCAGCGCTTGGAAGGCTGCTCTTCTCGCCGGGAGAAGAGGCTGGAGCCAGGGCGATGGGGAGGGAGGGGCCGCTGCCGCCTGCCTCCTTCTCCAGGCGGGAAGAAACCTCGGAATCGAGGGAGTCGGCGCGCCGAGGGGGAGAGGAGACCCCGCCCGGGCTCCTGGCACGGAGTCCCCGCCCCGAGGGCTTGGGGGGACGGCCCCAGGGACCCGGCCCGGGAGCCCCAGCTCCTTAGCGGGTCCTCCCCAGCCCTTCCAACTTTTTGCCCTTTCGCCAACTGGGAACCCATTCCTCCGCCCTACCCACATCCCCACACCTTCCCCGGATCGGGGGTGCGCAGGTGAGAGACCCCTGACGGCCTGCGGGTGGGATGGGAGGAGGACGCGGGACTCCAGCTACGCGCGCTCCTCGCCTGCGAGGTCCGAGACCCAGGACAAAAAAAGTGAGAACACATCAAACAACTGGGATTTTTTTTTTTTTTTTTTTTTGTACCGGGGATGGAACTTGGGTTCTTGCGCTTGCGCAGCAGGCGGCGAAACCACTGAGCTAAATCCCCGGCGCTCTTTTTTTTTTTTTGATACCGGAGATTGAACTCGGGACC